CAGGCGAGGGAGGCGGAGAATGGGCTCAGACTTGGCTGTACCCGGGAGGACGACCCCGCGCCTCCGGGCAGCGCCCTTTGGCGAGCGAGGGGGTGGTTAGGGAGGCCCCGGGGCACCAGCATCCTCCTCCGGCTCTGAGGGAGAGGGAAGCCCAGAGATCGGTAACGGCAGGCCTTTCCTGTGGCCCCCACTGCACTCTCCTTGCTTCAGAAGGTTCCAGCCTCTGTGGCAGGAACATTTGTCCAGCCTGGGTGAGTGTTGGCATCTCTGCTCCTTTCCTGTGGCCAGGTGATTTCCTCACCCAGCTCTCCCCACTGTGGGTCCCCCAGCTGACTTGTGACTGATGTATCTAGTCTGGAGTGGAGAAGCCCGGGAGCTGCCCAGGGGCCCTGCTGGGTCTCCTACACAGACCCCAGCCCAGGGCAAGACGGGGTCCCTTTCCTCTTGTTCTTTTCAGGCCAGCCTGACAGGAGTTGATGACTCTGGTGTTTCTGCCTACAGTACTAAGTCTGCATTTTCTGAGCATGGACAGTGCCAAGCACCTCACCTGTGGAGGCAGGAATAGTCATTGTTGCCATTCTTCAGAAGGGTAAATAAGCAGACCAGCTGAGTTCCTCCATCCCAGAAGGTGGAGAGCTGGAACCCAGGTCTCTGCTGTACCAAGTGTGTGCAGACCGTGGTGCCTGGCTCAGCCCCCTGAGGAACCCATTAGTTCCGGCCTGAAACTCTTTCCTTGGTCCAGCTGGGCACAGGCAGCCAGGACAGCTATTGCCAGAGGTGCCACCCACCACATTTCATCAAGTCCATTATACTGTGCATTCAGTCCTGTCCCTACTCATTTGTCACTGACAGACCTCCCTCTCTCGGGGCCGCATCCATCTCCCTCTTGCACTTGGTCATTCACCTCAGCACACAAACATGCTGCACTCTCTTATGAAAAACCAAACACTGCTCTTTTTTGTTTTACTTGAGGTTTCACGCTCATCCAGGGTGGAGTGCAGTAGCATGACCATGGCTCATCACAGACTCCACCTCCTGGGCTCAGGTGATCCTTTTGCCTCAGCCTCCTAAGTAGCTGGGACTCAGGTGCGTGCCACCGTGCTAATTTTTTTATTTTTGTAAAGACAAGGTCTCACTCAGGCTGGTCTCCTGCTCCTAGACTCCACTAATCCTCTCGCCACAGCCTCCCAAAGTGCTAGGATTACAGGCATGAGCCACCTGCTGTGAAAGCCATTCGTGACCCCACTTCCCTTCCAGCAGCCACACATCACTGCTCCCTTGAGCAGCCAACTCCAGCTGCTGGCCCTGTGCTTGTAACACCTCTCCCCCCACTGCCTGCAACCCACCTGTAGTCAGGATCCCACCAACTCCACCGACACTCAAGTTGCCAGTGACCTCCTCTTTCCAGCTCAGGGGCAAGGCTCGATATGCCATCCCCTCTCCAGGATACAATTCCAAAAGTCACTGTCTCTTTGTGTTCCTACCTCGGGCTCCTACCCTTGCCCACCCTGTGATCTGCAAGCCTTGGGGGCCGAGGGAGGGATCCTGGGGGTCTTCTCCCTCTACACTGGCTTTTTTTTTTTGAGTCGGAGTCTCACTCTGTCGCCCAGACTGGAGTGCAGTGGCCGCTCCCGGCCACCGCAGCCTCGACCTGCTGGGCTCCGGCGATCCTTCCGCCTCAGCCTTCCAAGTCGCTGGAACTACAGGTGTGCACTACCACACCCGGCTAATTTTTTGATTTATTGTAGAGATGAGGTTTCGCCAAGTTGCCCAGGCAGGTCTCGAGCCCGCGGGCTCAGGCAATCCACTCACCTCAGCCTCCCAAAGCGCGGGATTACAGGCTGAGCCACCGAGCCCGGCTTACGCTGGCTCTTTTAGTCCGTGTCCCCATAGCTCTCAAATGCCAGCTTTAGCTAGAACCTTCACTTGCACTGGAGTGTCACTTGCCTTATCCTGGATGCCCGGAAAACAAGAGTCTGAGGCAATGTGAAGAGTTTTATTGAGTGAAACTTTGGGAAAGACACAAGGAAAGATGGAAGTGAGGCAGAGAAGGGGGGAAAGCAAATACAGGTGGTGTGTTTCTGAGCTGCCCACAGCTCCACCAGGGAACTCCCAGAAGGCCTCCAGAAGCCCCATGCCCAGGGGAGGAAGGAGGAGCAACTGTTCTGTGGGCAGCTCCCACCTCCTCTCTTTTGTGCCACCTGGCCCTTCTGGGCAGCCTGCAGAAGCCAGCACCCCGTGGGGCCAGCCAGGAGGCACAGCAGCTCCCCCTGCACAAGCATAGGCCACGGAAGTTCTCCCATACCCAGGGAGAGGCTGAGGTGTCCTGAGTTTTATGACCACAGCACTGGGACACACAAAGTCGCTGGGCTTTTCTGGTGGGGAGCCAAGGCCTGGGGGCAGGTGGAGCTGAGCCACATCTGAGCAGACCCAAAAGCTGGGCCCGGGCCACCACCAAACTTGCTACACTCCCAGCCTTCTCTGTCTCATGGCTTCACAGAGCAGCTTCCAGCAGGCTCCTCTAGCTCCACCTTGAATACATCCTGCAGCCTCTCCAGGCAAGCCTCCTGCTCGGCTGTCAGAGGTGTGACTGCTCTGGCTTCCTAGCCAGCCTCCTTGCTGCTCCCCTTACCCGCCTCATCCCAGCTCAGCAGCCAGAGGGACCATTCAGAAGGCACATCATTCTACGCCAGACCTTGGCTGCAAACTCTCCAAGAGCTTCCTGTCACAGGAGCAGGAGCAAAAGCACAGCTCTGCCGTGGCCTTGTAGACCTCGTGCCATCTGGTCTCCCCATGCCTCTCGGACCCCTGGTCAGTTACTCCGCCACCCTCTGCCCCAATCAGTCAGCCTCCTTGCAGTTCCTGGAGTACCCCGGCCTGCTCCCATCCTGGGAACTCTCCCTCCTCCAAGGAACCCCAGATAGGAGAACACAGCTGAGCACAGAGGGGAACAGGAGTCCTGCCTGTTGGTGTGAGTCCCAGCACAAAACACACCAAAGCCAGGTCCTCAGTCACTTCTCCAGTGTTTTATTTCGGTCTCAGACTCCATGAATGCCCTGCTGACTGAACGGCACAGCTATGGAAGGCCATGTGCCAAGCAGGGAGTGTGCAGCATGGTTAGTGGACACTCTGAGGTTGCTTTCCCTGTAGGAACTGGGCAGAGTAGAAACACAGCCCCAGGCCTCATTCCTGAAGGGAACAGCACAAGGCTACTGGGGTCAGGGCACTGCAGGCAAACCCAGCTTCCCAGCGGGCTGGCCTGGCCAGCAGACCCATCATCTTCCTGTGTGAGGAACTAGTGCCAGGGTGCGGGGTGAGCAGGAGGCCATATCCTGAATGGCAAGGGGCAGCCTGGACTGCCCCCATCTCCCTCCCCTGTAACCCACAGGGCCTCAGTGGGCACCTCCACTTCTCCAAACCTGAGAGGGGCAGGGGACCACCCGACACACACAACAGGCTCTGGCTCTGATGCACTTTAATGAGTGCCCTGCCCCTCTCCAGCCAGGCCATCCTCTAGTCACAGGAGCCGTCCTTCCAGCCGTCACGCCAGCGCTCGTCCACTTTGGAGCAGTCGAAGTCAGGCTTGCCCAGCTTGCGATTCACCTCATTGTGCAGGCGGCACAGCCACTGGGTGAAGCAGGCACGAGTGCGTGTGTCTGGTTGGTTCCTGCATATCCTGTAGGGAGCACATGAAGAATGGGATGAGGCAGAGACTCCACCATCCCTGTCAGCTCCTTGCCTGCACCTGCAGGGCGACAGCTGGGCACTGTTGTGAGCTACACCTGGGAGTGCCCTGATGCTCCAAGGCAGTGGTGCCCAACCTATTTGGCATTAGGGACCGGTTTCTTGGAAGACAGTTTTTATTATTATTTTTTTTTTTGAGTTGGCGTCTCACTCTGTCACCCAGACTGGAGTGCAGTGGCCGCTCCCGGCCACCGCAGCCTCGACCTGCTGGGCTCCAGCGATCCTTCCGCCTCAGCCTTCCGAGTAGCCGAAATTACAGGCGTGCGTTACCACGCCCGGCTGATTTTTTTATTTATTGTAGAGATGAGGTCTCACTGCCCAGGTGGGTCTCGAACCTGCGGGCTTAGGCAATCCATTCACCTCAGCCTCCCAAAGGCGCGGGATTACAGGCTGAGCCACCGAGCCCGGCGGAAGACAGTTTTTCACAGATGGGAGAGGAAGGGATGTGCAGTCAAACCTCACTGTTAACCATGCCTCAGCTTCACCTTAGATCCCTCACATGTGCAGTTCACAACAGGGTTTGTGTGCCTGGGAGAATCTAATGCTGCCACTTATCTGACAGAAGGCAGAGCTCTGCTGGCTCCTGCTCCCCTCCTGCTGTGCGGCTGGTCCCTAACAGGCCACGGACATAACTGCCGCTGCTTCTGGGGACAGGAATTCCCTGAACAGGACTAACCCTGCACCTTCCTGGGCATGGCGGACTCCCAGAGTTACTCAAACACCCACGTGGGAAGCTTGGCAAACCCTCATAAAGGCCCAAGGGAAGATATTAAAAGCATAACCTGGCAACTTTACAACATCATAACAATCAAGAAGTTGAACCCCAGTGTCCCTGGCCCCAGGCAGAGCGTAGACTGGGTGGGGATGTGCACAGTCACAATTCAAAACTAGACTTGTTTCCTAACATCGGAGGCTCTGAGACCTCAGGTCAGCAAGAGACCCTGTTCTAACTGCCCACGCTTCAAACAGCAAGAACAGCTCTGCTCCACTCATGTGCTCTAGAAATACCTCCAAGGACCACGCCTTGTTCTTGGGTGCCTCCATGAGGAAAAGGTGGCTCTTGGGAGCCAAAGCAATGGGTTCCCAAGGTCTTAAAACCAGCAGTCCTGCTCCGGAAGTCAGGCAAAGTGGAGTTCTCCCCAGTCTGCCGGAGCCTCCTTCAGCGCTCGACAAGGAAGTGAAGGAGACAATCAGCGACCAACGGCACAGGTAGGCAGCCTGGCCTTTGAGGGGAAAGAGAAGGCTCAGATGATCCCAGTCCCCACCCTGACGGTGGTCTCTGCTCCTCAGGGGCCCCGTGCTACCGCTGCACCTGTTTTTCCAGGTTCCTCTCTATGACATCAGCCAGGGCCCCCAGCCCAGGCCCGAGTTGCGTTGTTCCGTTGCCTACGGACACGGCGTACCTGTTCCTTAGGTCTTCGGCACACTCCTCACACGGGTAAAACTTGGAAAATAAATGTATGAACTGGGCCATGTCTTGCTGCTGTTCTGGGGTGGGCAGGTCGGGGTAGTAGGCGGCTAGGGTGTGGAGGACAGCCCAGCTATGGCGGCCGAGTTCCTCGCGATCCTGCGGACAGTCCTCCCTAAACTTGCCGTCTCGCTGCAGAAGTAGGCCGACAAGGGTCAGTTCACTCACCCACGGCCAGAAGCCCGCACAGCTTCCCCTCCGTACGCCCCAGCCGGTGGCCCGCTGACGCTGGACACAACTCCTGCAGACGAGCCGGCCGAAAGCCGGGCCCACTCGGGGAGGTCAAGATTTAGGAACAGCCAGCCCCGGGAAGGTCGGCCCGGGACCCTGGGTGGGGGCCGAAGGCGGGGCTGGGAGGTCGGGCAGGGCATCGGCACCTTTTGCTG